CTCAAGTTGTTAAGTGCATTTGCGAGGTACATCATGCTCGCAGATAAGACAGTAGTAATAGTCACATGAGAATTGCTCCTCGTTCAGTCCTCTGAATATTGGTGTCCTGTTAAAACTGCGGTTCGCTTAAAAACTGAAATATCAAATGAGATCATCCGCAGCCAATTTCGAATTCACTTCTACTATTCGTTTTGATAAAGGCGCGTTGCCGAAATATCACCTCATCTATATTTCCGTTCTCCTGGTTTTTCCCCAAGCAATGAGAAAGCCTATTTCTGCTGTCTCTCAGAAGCGTCGCATTAAAACTTTGATTTCTCCCTTATGGCCTATGGCCATTGTTCCGAGAGTCTTTACCTCCAAGTTCTGCTGTTCGAAAGTTTTAACATATTAAGAGCCCCTCCAGAGAAAAAAACGGCCCCATATCCTCCCAACCTGCAACCTCTTCTCCTCGCTAGGTTAAGAACAGGACACATTTATTTGAGGACCCCTCCGGTACACCTTCTGGCACGAGAATGGATAGGAAAAGTAGGACTGGTTGCCCGGCGCCCCATCTCACGTCAGGGAGCCTCAGAGTCATCCGTCTCCGTAATGTCTCCGTGGTCAGGAGGAGAGAGACTGGACTCATCATCCGGCGGCACTGGGTACGGGTGGCGGAGCCGGCATATTGTCTAGCCGGGATGTAATGAAGAGGGCAGCTGGCAGCTGGCCAACGAGGGTCAACCCAGGCCCGCGACGGCCGTGCCACAATGGTGTACGGCACGCAAACCCCACCGTAGTCCTGTCTGGATGACTGGATCTGGATGAAGACATGCGGTTATAGAACAGATTATAAATTATCTGTTGAAATGAACGGAACAACTCGGGCGGCACGCGCAGTAAGCCACGCTTAGCAAATGCTCGGAAACCAAAAGCCCCCATGCAAACCATCCGATATAAAATCCTCCAAAAACAATTATGGTTGCAAACCTGCTCTAGTCATGGCAAACTCGGTTCGTTCCTACGGCTGGTTTGTGTATCTTTCAAGTATCTAATTGACGACATGCTTACGATTTGATAGATCATTTGGTATTACCGAATTGCCAAATTGGTGATAATGATACTGGATCATTCTCATACCGGGAGGAATGATCCGCCCTATGTCACAATACGCCAAACTGCCGTGTCGCAGATAGCGTCATAACTGGGCGCCAAAACTTACAGGACCCTTAATTAAGTTTGCAGTGGCATCGCACCATATAATACATTTCCAATTTCAACATGGTTGTAGAAAAGGGAGGGGAGCAGGGAGCCATGGCCCCCCTTTCAAGGTGGGGCCAGCAGCGTTAACTGCCTCCCCCTCCACTTCTCAGATTAAAACTGTGTTTAGGTTACTTTTGCACTGCATCAAACATGCGCGCCAATTTACCTAGTTTACCAGCCATCTTCCTCAAGATACGTCATATTTTTCGTTTGGTTATTGACCATCGCCCAGCGTCACAGCCGCAGGACCGACGCCGCGCGGCCTATGGAGAGTGCGACGCCGGGCGAGGCTGTTGTCGCGACGACTTGCAAGCGCGTATGTTCAAAACCATATTACATGCTTTTATCATTAATAAATTCTGTCTACATCTTGAACGAAAAACCTTTTGAACTTTTAAGACGAATATGGATTAGCCATTTCAATACAAATTTGGGACCCCATTTAATCTACAGTCTGCGACCAGGGAGTCCTCAATATCTTTGAAGGACCCTTAAAAATGTGGAACTGGAGTCCATGTAGCAGTTTTTGGCCCACCTGCAGCGATCAGAGATGTTGTTGCGTCAATGAGGGTTTCTGTGCCGATCTGGGGCCAACTGCGCGGGTCAGAAGACCTCTCGTGTCACGGCGGGGGGGGGGGGGGTAACATGTAATCTGATGTATCCTTTTAAGGGCCTCCGGATCGACCAGGAAATCCCGCCTCGTGTCACAAAAATGGCGGGCAGAAGACCCTTCGCGCTGGGACGCAATGGCCCTTCAGCCCTTCACCGGAAACAATAGCGTGCCCTTGGTGTTCTTATCAAGGAGCCTCTTGCCCGGAAGGAAAGAAGGGGTCTCAATATTGTTGAATAGGGTGGGGGGTCTCATTATTGTTGAATAGAGAGGGTCGAAATCAGTAAAAAAAAAAACGAACAGGGGCCATCTCATATCTGCCTGAGAACGCTCATTTTTTCAGAATGGATTGGTGAAACAAATTGCATCAAAAGGTTTGAACATACCCGCCCGCAACCTCGAGAGCAAGAACAGCGATGGCCTGGTTTGCAGCTTCCGTAAAACCGAACGGTGTCGGCCACAGCAGGTGCCACCAGACGACGGACGCCGTGTTAATCTGTCTTCTGGACAGATGAATAGGTACAGAAACAAAAAAGGGCATCCTACCTTTACCCTTCCAGTTCCATCACCAGATTCCAGCACTACTCCGCGACGGTTCAAGGACCAATCCGTTTTTATCATCAGTCTAAAAATCGCAGGCGTGAACTATGAGGCCACACTGCTTTGCAAATGTAAAATCTGATGTCCTGAAGCGCCTGAAAGCACTTTTTCCGAAAGGTCATCATTTTCGTCTACTCGTTGATCACGACTCAGTATTAGCTGCTGGGCCGACGCTGCGTGGCCTACAGAGACTGCAACGCCTGTCGTCGTGCTTTGTGCCATGATTTGTTGGCGCGCGCGCTCAAAACTGCGTCACAGAACTTGTATCACTAATCGATTAAGTGTTTAGAGATAATGATTTAAGAAGCGTGATCGTCTTCGTCCACCGGTGAGCCACGATTAATAGTTAGCTACTGGGCTAACGCTCCGTGGACTACGTGGGCTGCAACGCCTGGTGTCGATGTTTTTATTGCCAATATTTGCAAGCGCGCAAGTTAAAAAAGCATGTCACATTGCTGAATCACTTATCCATTCTGACTGAATGTAAAACGTTTCCAGACTAACATCGCTTGGGTGTGTTAATACGCCTTGTTTACCACTCGATCTGCAATAATATTTTCGTCTTCAAATTTCGATCAAACATATCGATCTGCAATCTACCTTCGCAATGCCTTTAATGTCTGAGAATCCGAGACAAAAATTCTAACAAAACTTCTGAATGTTGTCGGTTTAGAAAGAGTCATTCAGTCAAGGGTTCAGAGAATAAGTATTTATGAATTAAGAGCGCCGGTGGTTTATTCCATGCGGTCGTTCAATGCATGATAACTGCAATTTGATGACTTCAAAACGCAAACAGAATTGACCCCACGGTAGCTTCTGGTTTCTGCTATGGTAAAAAGACAAAAATAACAATAAAACGAAGAAAACCGTGTCCCTTGCCAACAAGCAGGCTATACCCGGGATTTTTTTTGGGGGGGGGGGTGTCAACAAAGGCCCATAAGAGGGGCTTGGTCAGCGCTGCGCTCCCCTTAGCGTTCCTCTGGCTACGCCCCGACCTGCACACAAAGCGGATCAAGTCGGCTGCATTGAATGATGGGAGATTGAATGTCTGTTGGACCAATTCATGCCTAAGGCAGGCAGCTTCACGCAGGCTTTTCTTTTCTGCGGTGGTGCGGTGCGAAGACTAAGAATTATTCGGGATACTGTTGCAGGTGTCCAACATATGCTTTACACACTGAGTAGTGGTAACACTGATCTAGAAATATGCAACAAAGGATCTCAGAGAGAGTCACCAGCTTTATAGCTTTGGTCACTTTTGACAGTTCCCAACTTACCAAATTTATTTCCGCCTAGAATGCTGCGTCAAGTCTTAACTCTTGAAAAGCAGCCAGCGAAATGAAGGCGCATGGCAAATCTGTCGCACGTGAGCCATCGATTAATTTTCAAAATTCTCACCAGCCTATGTCCAATCCGTATTTTGGCATCTACCCTGTGGAGGCAGATGCCTCCTGAATGATTCAAAATGCCTACCCGATCGTGGAATCTGGCCTCCACAGGAAAGACAATGCTAAAATGGACGAATATTCCTAGTAAGCTGGATAGCCCTATTTGCCGAATGATATAGATGAGCCGAATAGGCATGATTGTGCACCAGTGAGAGACAGCTCTGAATGGGTATCTTGCGTAGTAGCCATAACATTTGAACAAACAGCGATAACAACCTCCATTTTTAACCCAGCCCCCGATCTTCGGCCTGTTTTCCAGAAAAAGTTTCTGAGGTGCGCCCTGAGCTTGCCCCTCCCCACACATTTTGAAACATTCCTACGCCTATGAAATTCAGCATAGGTCCACCTAAGGCACCAAAAGCGACAAGTCTACCACGCACTTGACCACGGAAAAATCATTTTAGAAACAGCTTGCGCGCCAGTGCTGCTCAAATTTCAAACGCGTGGACATGACAGTAATCCTGAATACGCGTCTCACCAAATCCCTGCGTGTCGCATGCAAGAGCATGCCGCGTTCGTCACTAAAAGAGCACGACGCACCGGGGCCATTGTATATTTTGGGGAACCATAGTCCAGCAAGCTTCATTTTTTCCTTCCGCTGACGTCACCTGGCGCCGGATGTCAAAATCCCCTATTGCAAGCAGCGTCGGTACCGCCTGATTTATCGCCCGGTACTGTCCGAATCCCCCAGTAACCTATAAGTAGGGGCAGTGGGAAAATGCTGCGTTCTCAAATGTCGGTACACCTACCGCGAAACCGAAGGTGTCGCTCCCACAGCCTACGTTTCCTGAGCCACCTCGGGGCGGAGGGAATATTTTGGCAGGCATGGCCGCTCGGCGCTCTACACATCTATCGGGGTGATGTGGGCTTCACGCGGGGGATCGAAATAGACCTCGAGGGCCTAAGCCTCCCCAAAGGATTCGAGGCTCCAACGGCGCCGAGGTGTGCCCAGGTGCGGCGCGCCCTCGCCAGCGCCGGCCCCGAGACAGCCGCCACCGCCTATCGACCGCGCGCCGTTTTTGAGGCATGCTCCGGCGCCGATGACGTCATCCAATGTTTACGTCGGTCAGCTGAGCGGCGCGGCAGTCGCAGCAGAAGCGCGCAGGCGGCGGCGCGGTGGGGTCGCGCTGCTGTGTGGTCGCTGCCAACGACAGCTAGGCGGCGGCGGTGGGCCGGGGAACGGAGAGGCCAGGTCAGTCGCAGCCCGCGGGCACGCGTTGGTGTGTGCTTATGTGTGCCACCGACGTGAGCCGGTTTGCGGGTGGAGAAGCCGGCAGCCGGAAGGGGCGCTGTGGCCGTCTTTGTCGAAGCGTTTGAGTAGCAGCGTCACCGGCGAGGCTGACTGCCGAAGCATAATAATGAAACATTTGGTCAGCAAGCTGTGTTGAGCCCTACATGGACGTGACTCGACCACGTGCATCGCACGAATGTATGGCGCCTGACTTGAAACCTTCCCGAGCGCACGACTGACCTGTGAATAGTTCAGCGGAGCATTCCTCCGTCCGGCGACATCCCATGTCACACCACACCGTCCGGTGGCGCCCCATGTCACCCCACACCGCCCAGTGGCGGCCGATGTCACTCCGCACCGTCCGGTAGCAGCCGATGTCACCCCGCACCGCCCGGTGGCGTCCGATGTCACTCCACACCGTCCGGTGATGCCCGGTGTGACCCCACACCATCCGGTGACTCCCGATATCATCCCACACCGTCCGGTGGCGGCCGATGTCGCCCCACATCGTCAGGTGGCAGCTGATGTCACCCCACACCGTCCGATGACTCCAGATTTCACCCCACACCGTCCGGCGGCAGCCGATGTTACTCCACACCGCCCGATGACGCCCAATGTAACCTTATACCATCCGATGATGGCCGATGTCACCCCGCACCGTCCGATGACGCCCATTGCGACCCTTCACCGTCCGGTGCCGCCCAATGTTACCCCGCACCGTTCGGCGGCGGCCCCTGTCACCCCACAATATCCTGTGGCAGCCGATGTGACCCCACACTGTCCGGTGACAGCCGATGTCATATCACTGAAGCTGTGTCTGGGCGAAGCGCGTCGTTACTTTGGGTTGAGGTCGAGGTGTTTATGTGAAATGCAGAGTGAGTGATCACTAGAAGGGATGCAGGAATTTGCCAAGTTGTCGGGAGCGCAACTTGAATAGATACGTTCATTTGCTCCAGGAAACCTTCAGATGTGGATGTGGCAATGCTGGAAATGTTTGGCCGATTGACCGTGCTTGGCTATAAATCCCAATGAATAGCAAAACACTGTCCGTGCGCCTGAAAGTGAAACGTGAACTGTGTTCACTGCTGTATTTAGGTGTCAAATAAGCTGTTCGAATAGTTATCATTGCGTTCGAGTAGTAGATTACGCGAGTTGCATTTATGCATAAGTGCGTTGTGGGCATTTTTATGGACATATGGGAACAAAATGGGAATCTGTGACTAACGGTCACCAGTTAGCTGCCCCGCGGGGTGCGTCCCTCCCCCTTGTTGGCCGTTGGACAGTTGTGGCGAACCCAGAAAAATGACGCGATTTTATAAGATGCTCTGATTCGCGCACCAACAATGAACGTTGGTTTGGTGTGAGACCACCTTGTCTCGCCCCAGGGTCAAATTGCGCGGCGCCCACAAAGAGCACAACATGCTCGGCGCCCGCGCAACATGGGTTCGTTTGAACTAGCTATGCTCGACAGCGCGGCAGAACCACTCGACTGTGAATGTGGGACGGTGGGTGGGACCCGTGTGGCATGGTGAGTATGAGTGTGTGAGCGGGTGGGGATGTGTAAAAGTGGGGTGGTGAGGTGGGACCCGTGTGGCATGGTGAGTGTGAGTGTGTGAGCGGGTGGGGATGTGTTAATGTGGGATGGTGAGGTGGGACCCGTGCGATGGTGGGCCCGTCGCGCGACGGTGGCACGGTCACGGCGGGACGGGGCAGCTGGAATTTGTACGCTGTATTGATTGCTGACATGCATGGTGGTCTATTGACGAGGGTGCATCACATCCGCTCACACCAGACTACATTACACCAATTTACGAGGGTACACCACACCCACTCACACCAGGCTACAGTACCCCCATTTACGAAGGTACACTACATCCTTTCACACCAGGCTACAGTGCATCCAATTAACAGTTGATTGGTAATGTAATATTTGTACTCAAAGCGTGTGGGAACGAAACGACACGCCGACTCGCTTGCTTCGAGTGATATGTGATCATGATATGATTGATCAGACCCGCGGCCCATAATGATGATTGTAGCCGCAGCGGAGTGGCTGCATAGCTTCGTGACCCATAGTGGGTTTATTTGTTTACGTCTGGCTATGAAATTCCTCATGGATTTCCCATACCAGGTTTTTCAACCCTTGAATGCGCCGCTGTAAGTGTTTTTAACAATGACAGGTACGGACATACCTAAGATAGTCGACTGTAAAGATTATCTTAGATGAGAGTGTAGAGTTAGAGATTGCAAGTGCAAAATATGTTACAATGGTCATTTCGCCGTGAAAAGTCTGAATTCAGCATGTATGGGTACGCGTAAATGAACTAATTACACGGCAGTGTTCCATGAAGCATGTGCATTTCGCTGGGGACGCTTACGTTTTAAGTGTTGCGTTAAGAAAAAAGACATTGACCAAACATATTGTCTTTTGAGTCGATGGCAACCCATCATTTATCTTCGTAGGACATCTCATGGTTTATGCTTCCATAGTGGCCAAACAAGTTTTTTGGGGGTTTGTCTTGAAAGCTGGTTTTTCGTTCGTGCCCAATGGTCGTATGTTTGTTTGTTAGCGGAGGAACTACAACGTGCCAAACGGGGCGTTCGCTCAGGATCGGAAGGATAACGATCATGGTTTTACCATTCTTTGAGATGGAAGTCTTGTTTTGTTTTACATTTTCGATGAAGCATAGCTGCACTGCCCAGATTCAACGCGTACCTCTTCGTTCCCGTCGCACTACGCTCCGAGATTTCGCTACACCAAAAATGTCTTTTTAACGAGGTTAACACCCGGACGGAACCCTGCTGATTGGCTGCTGGCGTATTGCCTGACTGACCTCGCTCGGCTACCTGTTGATATCGGGCCTTACTGAGCCCGCCAGGTCGGCTGTTGACCCAACTGAGCTCATCAGGTCAGCTCTCCCCGACCAAGAGCGATGGCAGCGGTGACGGCCCTCACCTGACCCCAGAGCGACGACAGCGATAACGACCCTCACCCGACCCCAGAGCGACGACAGCGGTGACGACCCTCACCCGACCCCAGAGCGACGACAGCGGTGACGACCCTCACCCGACCCCAGAGCGACGACAGCGGTGACGACCCTCACCCGACCCCAGAGCGACGACGGCGGTGACGACCCTCACCCGACACCAGAGCGAGGACAGCGATGACGACCCTCACCCGACCCCAGAGCGAGGACAGCGGTGACGACCCTCACCCGACCCCAGAGCGAGGACAGCGGTGACGACCCTCACCCGACCCCAGAGCGACAACAGCGATGCCGGTGACGAGTCGGCCACCGCTGTCGGTCATATCCGCGGCTCCTGGACAACGCCAGCAGCCGCGGACGGCCAGCGCCGCACAGCAGCCGCAGGCGGGCTCTGAGCGGCCTGGAGAGACGACAGCGGTGACCGACTCTCCGCGGTTTCGGTCGTCACGCCCGCGTCACGCACTCGAAGTCGAACGCGGTCGATGCAGGGCCAGGGGGCGGGTCGGCTAAGCGGAAGAGTTCTGTACATCTAGCGCGCGTCTAGGTTACTGGGCCTGCAGACTGGAGCGCTCACTGAGTGGTTCGGGTAGTTTCGTTCACTCTCCATTTAGAACAGACTGAGAGCTTTATTGCACCCCGCGGTTGCAGCGAATGCCTCGCGTTATCAAATTATGTATCATAATTTGTGTTCACGACCCAAGGGCAAGAACTTGGGCTCCTCTCGACGCGATTTAAGCTCTCACCTTGCGCACGTGGGCAGCAGTGTCTGTAGCAGCCCTCTGATCAGCATTTTGGCGTTTTGTTGCTGCTGCTATGAGCCATCCTTGCGCGTGCGTGCGCTGAATACCCAACTGGACACGACTATTGGATCGGAGTTGTGTATCCAACGCTAGGTATTGTTCTTATGCAGACTTGTTCGAAACCGGTGCGCCAAACAACCACCACCGCCGCGGCTCTCGGAGGCAACCGTACCAGTGCTTCACCTTTCTCAGATCCCGAAGCGTGAAGTCTGTTAAAGTCGTAACTCAGTTATATACGTCCCGGTAACGGTTATAAGGCCAGCACCATCTTCACCCGCGTTTCCTGCGAAAACGTCTGGGGCTATCTTGCTTGCGAAGACTTGCCAAGTTCTGGCAGCCCGTTTCCTGTGAAGAAAATTTGTCTGGGGCAACTGCAGCACGAGTTTGTCTTCCGCTCTTTGCGCGGAAATTATGGGCGTGCACTACAAACCAAAATGCAGGGATGGAGCTTCTTTCGAACGACTGGTGGTGCAAGCTATCGGCAGCCCGGGCGACTTGGGCACAGATAATTTTTTCGAAGAGCCTCCTCCTCGATCCACTTAGCGCTTATAGCATCGGTTTAAATGAATCATTCATTGGCCACGCGTTTCCATTTCCAAATGGGGCCTCGTCGCAATCAAAGTATGCGTGGGGATTTCGCTGTCGATAGCAAAGAGTCAGGCTTGCAAACGGCGATGTCGTTAGAACAGAAGAGGGATCCGGCAAAGGTGCTGACGAGGAACAAATTTTGACTTGCATGCTCTGTGCATTGAATGCAAAGCCGTCAGCCCTCTTTTAATCCCGGTCCCAAAGTAAACACACATGTTTTTATATCCATCGATGAAGCCTGCCTGGATCCAAAGCTTGACGTGACTTGGCCACTGTCTTCTGTTTGATGTGAGACTATCTTGCACCAGCATTCCCCGTCTCGACTTACGCTCACATCACCGTAGCCGAAGCGTAAACACCCGATCGGTCTAATTCGGTGGCACATCAGGTCAGTAATTGTGCGCCGACACTTCCCCACACGGAGCCGCTGTTTTCCGCGCGGCTGCTTCGGGAGCTCGAGCTTCGGGAGCTCGTGCATATTGATCGCTGGCCCGGCTGCGACGCAGATGGCGGCCCCACCGGGCGCCATGTACGAGCCTCCCTGGAGGGAGGGGCAGGCTGCAGCGCATGCTGCCGGCGCCCCTCG